GCATCATGCAAATATGATGACTACTGAGTATTTATTGTGAGAGTTTAAAGGTGGCCTCCTGTCTAGACAGTGCTCAGATCTGAGACAGGGAGGAGCCATCAAGCCCATGCATCCCAATGTCCCAGATCTACAGAGAGCCAGACCCACAGCATCCAGGAGAAATGCTTTGTCTTTAGGTAAAGATCCTTGGAGGATAAAAATCCTTTATTATTTTAGTGGTCTCTCTCCCTATGGCAAGGGAAACTTCTTTTTCTTTTCTTTTTTTTTTTTTTTTTGAGACGGAGTTTTGCTCTTGTTACCCAGGCTGGAGTGCAATGGCGCGATCTCGGCTCACTGCAACCTCCGCCTCCTGGGTTCAGGCAATTCTCCTGCCTCAGCCTCCTGAGTAGCTGGGATTACAGGCACGCGCCACCAGGCCCAGCTGATTTTTTGTATTTTTAGTAGAGACTGGGTTTCACCATGTTGACCAGGATGGTCTCAATCTCTTGACTTCGTGATCCACCCGCCTCGGCCTCCCAAAGTGCTGGGATTACAGGCGTGAGCCACTGCGCCCGGTGGGCCAGCCTCAGTAGCTCATGCCTGATCTTTGAGATGCCAAGGTGGGAGGATTGCTTCAGACCAGGAGTTCAAGACGAGCCTGGGCAACACAGTGAGACCCCATCTCTACAGAAAAATTTAAAAATTAGCTGGGTGTGGTGGTGTGCACCTGCAGTCCTAGCTACTCAGGAGGCTGAGGCAAGAGGAGTTCTTGAACCCAAAAGTTCAAGGTCACAGTGAGTTATGATAGCACCACTGTACTCTAGCCTGGGTGACAGGGTGAGACCCTGTCTCAAAAATAAAGTGACAAATTTGAGAGAATAATAACATAGAAAGGGAAGATGTTACATATATCACTAGGCATATGTCTGAGGAGGATGTTGTATCATTAGCTGGCCTTCTCTTTGTCCGTAGAAAGGGGCCAATCTGTCCACTGGAAGACCTGGTAGAAGGTATGTTACTGTGGCTCTTCTTTAATAACATTAATCTAAAAAGTGGATTAAGTGTAAAGAAGCGAGGTATGGATCAGGATATACACTATGCCCATATATGTTCATATATACATATGCACTTACACATAGATACATATGTGTGACTATAGTATTTATAGATACATACATATACACTGTATTTACATAGAAAACAATATATAAGCATCATGCACTAAAACATGATGTAATACAGTGTAAAAACACACTGTATTCATATAAACTATCTTTAGAAGCCTATGCAGGAATTGGTTAACAGTGGTTGCCCTGTGAAAGGAACTGAGTGACTAGCAAAAAGGAGTGTGAGAGGGGATCTCTTTTCTCTGATAATTTTGTGCCTTTTGTACTTTTTGAATTGTGTTCACTGAGGATGTCTAAACTATTTGCCAATAAAATATTTAAAAGTCTATCATGAACAGATAAAGGAAATAACAGTCTTTGGTCATGTGTTAGAAGTATTAAATAATAAGTCATCTGATTAGTTAATTTTAAAAAAAGACTTACAAGTACAGGGGCAAAAAGGAAAAATGCTTATTTCCACAAAGATCAAAATAATTTAGTACTTTACCACCATAATTCAAAAATAATTTTAATACCTCAACGTATGTTGCAATAACATTGTATATAAATAAACACCCTCCTCCCAGTCTTCCATCTACATCACAAATAAAGGCTGACTACCTCATTGCTCCTCAACGTTTCCTCTGAAAAGCGATCAGTGTCTCCTGCCTGGCCATTAAATAGATTTTGAAAAACTCTTCAATCCGTATCAGTTTCATATCCTTATTTAGTTCCTCAAATTTGCCCTCAGCTGGGAATTCTGCAGGCAACTGTGATTCTGTTGTGTTCGCCACTCATTTGAAGGGTCCCATCCATCATCATTTCTAGTCCTTTTCTGATGCAATGTAGCTTGTTCTTTGTCTTTCTTATAAACTGAATGGCTGTTAAATTATCCATTTATCTTCCTTCAGATTTTCTGTTCAGTTTCTCAGGCCCTATAAGGACTGTCTTTTCTACCTTGTTTGCTGACTTTTCATTCCATTTCCCCTGTTCTTGGAGGCATCTTGGTTCACCATGCTGCCCTTCAAAACAAACTCTCTGGTTCAGTCTGCTTTTTGCTTGTTTGAAAGCAAGCAGACCTTGCTACTTAAGTAGATTTCCTTTTAAAATTTTGTTCCTTTGAATAGTTTTGAAAACTTTGAGGTAATATATTTCAAATTTTATACATAGATAGTAGGATATATTGGAACAAACCCTAAATTGAAAGTCCAAAGTCTTGGATTCTAAACCCAACTCTGCCACTATCAAGTCATGTCACTCAACAGCGACCTTTCAGGGTTTTGCTTTCCCCGCCTTCAGATGGTCTGCAAGTACATGCTTAGTCAACTACTCTAGTAGAAAAATAGCATCTTTCTTCTGTTAAAGGTGACCCAATAAATGACCTGAGGTTTGTGTAATGCTGACGCCTGTACACACATGATCTCAGACAGCACTAGGTCATACTGGTTAGGAGTCCCAGATTTGAAAACAGAAAGAATCTATGCCCTGTCACTTACTATATATTCTTAGGTAAGTTACAGAAGCTCTATAGCTTCAGTTTTCACATCTGAAGAAAAGGATTCTCATAGCATCTAACTTGGTATTGTGAAGAGAATTAAATTAGATAATGCTTGGAAAGTCAGTCTTGAGCACACAGTAAGTGCCCAAAATATGTTGTTAGGGACTCACTACATCTTTGTGGGACAGGAAGCTTGGCTATTATTATCCAAATTCACAGCAGAGATACTGAAGTTTAGAGATTATACTAATGATAACAGTGACTCACATGCTGGAGGGCTTTAACTCTAATAGGGCTTACTCTTCCCAAAGCTTTTCCACATACTTCACCTCCCTTCGTTCAGACTCCTGGAAAGGTTGATATTGTCTGTCATCAATTCCATTTGCTCCAAGAAGAAAGTCCCTTTGTAAGGCCAAAAACCTTTAAAAAGTAGCAGAGTGAAGCTGCCTTCATTCAAACCTATGAGCCAGTGGTGATTACCACTGGCTTAAAAAGAAAGCTGAGGATGGTGAGCCCTCGGTTTATGAGTGTATAGGGCAGGTTTGAAAGAAGACACTTATAAAAACACTCAGCCCTTACTGCTTCCTCTTAGGCTATCTTAGGTGATTTTTTTCCTCTCTCCTGCTGGCTCCTTTCTTTATGTCTCTGTTTCTCTATTTCTCCTTTCTTTAGATTTTTCAGCCGTTCAGATCACCTGTAGCACTAAAACCTAAATTCAATGATATATTAAGTCAAAGATTTGGAGAATAATTTGTCCTTTTTTGTTATTTTATGGTTCTGTAGCTCATCCTTCTCTTTGTAGGAGGTGTTGATTCAGATGCTGAAACTCCTCTAATTCACTGGAGCGATTGTGAGCAGCAAGAATAACCTCCCTAGTTTCTCATCCATGAAATAAAGGCAGGAATGTTAACACTCATGACAAGGCAATTCAAGAGTGATAGGTTATTTCAGGGCATCCTGAAAGCACAAGATGCTGAGGAAATGCAAGCGCTTACTAGTAACAATGTGATAACCCGATCTTTCCTGTTCCTGTCAGTCTTTGCACTGGCTATGTTGCTGAGGAAGCCCCGGGGGGTGGTCTCCCAGCAGCTGGTAACAACTCACACACTGCTGCTGCAACTTGAATGAGGGAGGAGACTGGTAGATTCAGCTGTGCTGGGCATTCTGGCTGAGTAACAGAGACAGTGAATGCAAATAATTAAGATGTTCTAATAAAGGAACCCACAGACGGTCCCAGAGGCTAGAATATCTACCTCTTGGGGGCAAACAGAAGTTTCCTAAGAACCTGTCATTTAAGCAGAGTCCTTATGTAAGACTAGGAGTTGCATGGGGAGAGGAGGGGAAGATAGGCCTGCAGATGGCTGAGTGAACACAGGCACAGGGTGTGGAATATTAGTGAGGTAGCAATTAGGGAAATGGCAGGTGACCACTTATGGCAAGAGTAGAGGGTACAAGGGAAGGAGAGAGAGAAGGTGGGATGGAAAGGTCAATTGTGCCAACTGAGATTTTTTTCCTGTAGTAGTGGGGAGGGAAGGCCTGAAGGACATTAAACAGGTGAGCCATATGATCAGCTGTGCTTTGGGAGCATACCTCTGGTGGTGACATGGAGCCTGGAGGATGGGATTGTATGCATGAGACTGGGGTCTGCTTGGAGGCAGCTGGTACGGAGGCAGTCAGGAGACCCTACTAATATAGGGGATCCAAATGAAGGAGAAAAATCATGATGGCACAACTAGAAAATAATAGAGAAGAAAAAATACCCTAGGCATTTTGGTCTTGTTTTATAATATATTTATGAGCTTTTTGATGGCATTAGAGATTTTTTTGAAGTTGTCTTTTGTTTCCCGCCCTTACTGTATGCTCTGAATTCCCTTTTCTTTCATGGTTTTTGGTTTGCTTCTATTCTTTCATATTGGAGGCTTTGCTCAAACATTCTGTGGCCCTTATCTGTTTTCATATATTTAAATGCAAGGCATTGAAAGACGAAAGACCTATTCAAGGCAGAGTATAAAGCAGACCAGGGCAGGCAAGTGGGAGAGCTGTGACTGTCAACTGGTGGGCTCCCTTTTAAGGGCATCCTGCAGGGTATCAGTTCATTGGGAGAATCTGAAGTGCAAGTCCACACAGATCTTTTCTCTGAGACTGTTCTGTTTCCCTAGAGAAGAATCCCACTTTACCACTTCTGTGGGTTTCTGGCTGTTGGCATTCCAGGCGCAGAGTGGTAGGGCATCTGAGAGTCCAGCAAATCATTCCACAGACTTTTGATGACCACAAATTCTCTCTATGAGTGCTCTGAGAGAAGAACTCTCTAGTCTCCAGACTTGGCAGTGGCTACAGAGGCTGTTGACCTGGCTGTGTGGGTTGTGGCAGATTCCTGAGATTCCATTGACCAACTTCCAACCTTTCTTTTCCTCTTGTTTCCAGGCTGATTCCTCCACCTCATTGTTGTGAATTGACTTGTGTCCTCCCAAAAGCTATGTTGAAGTTCTAACCCCGGTACCTGTGAATGTGGCCATGTTTGGAAATAGGCTCTTTGCAGTTGTTAGTTATCAAGGTAAGATGAGATCATATTGGATTAGGATAGGCCCTTAATTCAACAGTTGGTGTCTTTATAAGAAAGTCATGTGAAAACAGACATAAGAGAACGTTACGTGAAGTCAGAGGCAGAGAATGTCAAGAACTGCTGGCAGCCACCAGCAACGAGGAGAGAGGCATGGAATGGATTCTCCCTGAGAGGCTTCACCAGCAACCACCCCTGCTGACACCTGGATTCTAGCTTCTAGAACTGTGAGCAAACACATTTCTGTGATTTAAAGCCATCCAGTTTGCTGTACTTTGTTACAGCAGCTCTAGGAAACAAACATATCCACTTTTAGCTGTTTCTAGGTCCTGAGCCTCTCAGGCATTCCTTCGAAAAGGCAAATCGATCTGGCTGGCTTCCTGTTGCTCTCCCCTTGTGCAGACATTTTGGGAGATTACTTCCTTCTTAGCTTCCAATATTTGAGGATGTCTTATCTCTACTTATGCTTTGTTTCCTTCAGAGTGTATAGATTTCTTTTAAAAAAAGAAATACAACTTTATTACTTCTAATCATACTTAATAGTATTAAATAAGTCAATAAAATGAGGTACCAAGGTGCTCATTTAAGAATTATCTCTATTAGGAAAAAAAAAATGGGATAACTGAATAAATTACAAGTCAATTGATTGGAAGAGTAGGCTGCCATTTCAAAGGATAATACGAAAGCCAGGCGCGGTGGCTCACACCTGTAATCCCGGCACTTTGGGAGGCCAAGGCAGGCATATCACTTGAGCTCAGGAGTTGGAGATCAGCCTGGGCAACATGGTGAAACCTCGTCTCTACAAAAACACAAAAAATTAGACAGGTGTGTTGGTGTGCGTCTGTAGTCCCAGCTACTCAGTAGGCTGAGGTAGGAGGATTGCTTGTGCCCAGAAGGCAGCGGTTGCGGTGAGCTGAGATTGTACCACTGCACTCCAGCCTACGTAATAGAGTGAGACACTGTCTCATAAAGAAAGGGAAAAAAAAGGCAGTGTAAAAATTATATACAAACACGGAAACATAAGAACTTTATGTTAAGTGACAAAGCAGAATACACTCATGCACCTGGTAAAAATGTGTTTGCATGTGGACAGCAGTATGAAGGGGTATCAGGAATAAGAGAATGTGAGGTTCTTGTTTCTCGCAAGTCTGCTCACGACAATTTAGGTATTCTCTAAGGTGATGTATATTTTCTTTACTGTTCTCATTTCCTTTTGATACCTCGACAGCAGAGTTTTTAACATTCACATATATTTATCCTTTCCTTCCTCCCTCCTTTCCTCCCACCCTTCCATCTTCTTTCCTACTTCTTCTGAAGAGAGCCGAAGAAGAGAGGGTCATGAAGAAAAGGTAAATAAGGTTTTAAAATATGTTCTCTAAAAAAACCAGAAAGTTATTTAAGGGATGAGAACATTCTAAGCCTTGTAAGGACTTGGGGTTAAGAGACATTAGCTTCATGATTCCAAAGCAGAAATGCTTTTAAAAAGAATTATGTATGTTGGTCAGCTGGATAAGGAGAATTTAAGATAAGAATTAAGATCTTATCGTAAATCTGTTCTCAAAAACCTTATTAGTAGGTATATTGTATTTTTCCATTGGATTCCAGCATTTTAATATGGATTCATGGCACTGTTTGAGCTCATAAAATACATATGAATAAGAATAGATTAATAGTAACATATAAATTAGTTTTTTTTTCAAAGTTGCATAAAATAAAACAAAGTCCATTTTATTTACCAAAAAATATACATAGAGCTGGTTGTTTATCAGGTCAGACTCCTTTTTGGAGGTGAAAAACATTAGGTATTCTGGAAGAACTTTGAGATATAGCGAAGGGTATGAGATGCCTTCACCTGCCAATTATGCATGATGTTGGAACAGGAACTTAACTACTCTGTTAATGAGCCCTCTTTGCTACTCAGAACTTCTTCCTACCCAGCACATTCTTTTTTTCTTTTTCTTTCTTTCTTTGTTTTAAAGAGATGGGATTTTGCTCTGTCACCAGGCTGGAGCACAGTAGTGCAATCATAGCTCACTGCAGCCTCGAACTCCTGTGCTCAAGCAATCCTCCCACCTCAGACTCCCAAGTAGCTGGCACTATAGGTATAGACCACCATGCCTGGCTAAGAATGGAGCATATTCTTAGTTGATGTTTGTACTGATTACTGTTAGACACTGGAGGATCCTAAGAGTTTTCCAAGTCATAGAAAGATTAAATTTTAATCAGGATAAATTTAGTATATTTTATTGCATTATAACTTCTTGAAATCATATGTATGCAATATACAGTATAAATTTATTGAAATCTACCTATGATATATGCTAGCTCCATCTCTTAATTTGAATATTAAAATAACTAGAGGACTATATTTTCTGACAATGCTGGATAAAAGAAAATTTAATGTGTTTCTTAGCTGAAAAAGTCAAAGCTCTGAAAAATTCATGGTTATTAACTGGTCCTTTACAGTAGCATTCAACTATCATGAGAATGAAACCACTTTCTAAAAATATATTATAGGCCATATACTCCAGCTTATGGGCAGGAATATAACAGTGTACATGCTGATGAAAGATTTTATATAGTCATGTGCCTCATAATGGCATTTCAGTCAATGATGGACCACATATACAACCATGGCTCCATAAGATTATAATACCATATTTCTACTGTACCTTTGCTATGTTTAAATATGTTTAGATGCACAAATATTTACCATTGTGATACAACTGCTTACAGTATTCAGTACAGTCAAATGCTGTACAGGTTTGTAGTCTGGGAGCAATAGGCTATTCCACATAGCCTAGATGTGTAGTAGGTTGTACCATATAGGTTTGTGCAAGTACACTCTGATGTTTGCATGATGAAATTGCCAAAGATGCATTTTTCAGAATGTATCCCCATTGTTAAGCAACACATGACTCTATTTCTAGGTGGTAACTACATGGCATTATATGCTTCATACATTCCACTGCTTATACTGCATCCCATCATTCACTTGTCTGTTTCTTCATTCCTTTGCTCAACAAACATTGGCTGAACAGCTCTAATGTGCTAGCACTATGCTAGGTCCCAGGAATATGGTGGCTCCAGGAAACCAATCTAATGGAGAAGAGACAGAAAGATAATCACATACAGAGTGTTTGGTTATAAAGAGGTGGAAACAGTGCCGTGGAATGTTGTGCGGAAGCAGAGGTTTTACAGAAGTGACAGCTCGGGTTGGTGTCTTCCAGGCAGATAAGAGAGCAAGGAGGCATGGGGAGAGGCCAGGGAAGATGGACCAAAGCGCTAGTGAGTCCTGTGCTTGGGGCAAAGGGTATCTGGCGAGAAAGTGGGCAGGGTGATAGGAGATGAGGCCAAGGAATAGGGGTGGGCTTCAGAATGAATGAGGGGGTTTCTGAATGCTAAACCAAGGACTCTGTAAGATATCTTACAGATGGTGATCGTAACTTGAGGTCTTTAAAGCAGGAAGATGCTGTGATCAGATTTTTATAAAATGGATCATTTTGTAAAAAATTTGGAAGGTAGACTGTAGCAGAGGGGCCTATAAATTACATAAAACCAATACTTTTGAATATTAATGTTTCTCTTCTATTCATATTTGACTAATAACACATAGAATATTTTCTGAGATAAACAGCCTTTACTATCTATCAGGAATCGGATTTGGGTACATTATTACGTAACAAGGACAATATTTTGAGAATAGTACCCAGTACATTTTCCATTCTGTTTAAATGGTGATGCCTGGGGCTCTTCTCCCATTATCTCAGTAGGCTTCCCTCTGTAAGGCAAATGGCAGTTCCCAGCTAGAAACAAGCTGCTATCATTCAGCTCTGAAAGAGAATAACCCTACAAGTAGCTTTGCATGGTGAAGGGGCTTTCTACATTTCAAAAATCTCTTTTCCCTATTAAGAACCAAGCCTGTCTAAGTTAGATCTTCAGGTTTTACTACAAAGCTCTAGAAAGAAGAACACAGAGGAGACCTCAGGCAAAGCAAAGTAAATGGAAATGTTAGAGAAGAGGGGGAGTAGGGAGAGGGGCAGGGAGAGAGAAGAGAGGAGAAAGACAGAGGGGAGAGAGAGGCAGAAAGAGGGGAGTGAGAGAAAGGGAGATCAGAAATGAGTAGTCCTGGCTTCACATTCCTTGGGGGATTAAACCCTAAAAGTGAGGGGAGGGCTTATATTTCAAATTTCAGAGCCTAATTCAGGAAAATAATAGAATTTTCCTAAAGCAAGTTGGCACCACCCAGGCAGCATATTAGAAAAGACTTGGGAAGTTGTGTGGACAGCAGGGTGAGGAGAAAGTAGTTGGGAGTTCATGGGTGCCATGGGGGGACTGAGCAAATGTCAAGAGATCCAGTCAGCTAGAACTGGCCAGGAAGCTGCTGGCGGTGGTGGAGGGGGCTTCTTAATAAGATGCTGCCACAAGGACCACAGACTTAAGCAGTCAGACCTAGTGGCCAGAGCCAGCACAATGTGCTCATCACACCCACGCCATAGTCACACGGGGCTGGCGCAGCATCACAGCCAGAGTCACTACCAGCCACCTCTCAGTGAACCCAGAAAGACTCAGCAGGCAGGATGTGTACCAGGGGTTCTTCTCCCAAAGGTGACAAAATCGTCACAACCATAGGTGAGTTCTTTGGTTCCTAGATGTCAGCTGGGGAAGAGAAAGAGCTCTGATTGGGAGCAATTCAAAATTTACTCCCTCCAAAGACCTGCTTTAACCAGAAGACATTGAAATACCTTAATAGTCAAGTTTAAATAGTAGTCCCTGAATACTGCTACCACCCTACTCCCCATCACTGGGAAAAAGTGGAGCCAGAAAGATCAGTTATAGAGAATATAGGAAGTTGTTCTCCTTCCTTCCTTCCTTGCTTCTGTCTTTCCTTCTTCCCTCCCTTCCCCTTTCCTCCCCTCCCCTCCCCTCCTCTCTTCTCCTTCCCTCCTTCCTTGCTTTTTCCCTCCCTCTCTCCCTCCCTATATTCCTCCCTTCCCTTCCTCTCTCCTCCTTTCTTCCTATATTTTTTGCATTATATATGATGCCATTCCATATATATCCCACTTTGTAAGGACAAGTAAGAAACTAGACCCAACTCTCTCTTCCTTTCATCCACAAAAATACTGAAAGTCATAAACACTTACAGGAAACTGATTTGGGTGTGTTTTTTTTTTTTTTGTAATATATAATGAAGTTGTTCTTAGGGAACACTGGATTGCTTTTAAAGTACTTTCATCAGTATCTAGAGAGTGTCCTGGAGTGGCACCTTACATCCTCTTTTCTAGTTTATTAATTTCTAACTCCCACTCTACTATTTTAACTATATTTTAAACTTTTCTCCCTTTTTTCCAGAGAGCATATTAATATTGCATCATGTGGAATGTATTTTTCAAAATGACCATTAAAAGTGAAGGCAGAGGCTGGGCATGGTGGCTCACACCTATAATCCCAGCACTTTGGGAGGCCGAGGCCTGCAGATCACTTGAAGTCAGGAGTTCAAGACCAGCCTGGCCAACATGGTGAAACTCTAAAAATACTAAACTCTAAAACTACTAAAAATACAAAAAATTAGCCAGGCGTGGTGGCAGGCATCTGTTATCCCAACTACTCGGGAGGTTGAGATAGGAGAATCGCTTGAACCTGGGAGTTGGAGATTGTGGTGAGCCGAGATTGTGCCATTGCACTCCAGCGTGGGCAACAAGAGCGAAACTCCGTCTCAAAAAAAAAAGGCACAACTCTTACCAAAATTTTCCTACTCTTAATGGAAAGAGAAAATTATTCTGGCGAGATGCTGGCCAGGTCACGTCCTTTTGCATTATCTGTGAAAAATTCCACTCCAAAATCAAAAGCTAGTTTAGGATGAGTTAAAAATCGGATTATAGGCATAATGAAAATTAAATCCCTCAGTCCTTAACAAACAAAAGATTTATAATGACTCTGCACCACTGACATTCTAGGTACACTGAGATTTGGTTGAGTTGAGAATGAAAATAAGGAGCCAGAACTTAGCTTGCTATTGCAGGGAAAAGCTCAGAATGATACTGTGACATGAAAGTTTCTGTTTATCCCTAAGGCTGGTGTGGCAATGACTTCAAAGTTTGATTGTGTCTTTGTTTTCTTCCCTCTTCCTTTTTTTTTCTCCAAAGATGTTGAGCAGCAGGGCTAATGGATCCCCAGCAGGGTGCAAAGACAGCAGAAAGCACAGGAATCAGATGTCAATGTATTCCTTCGAGATACCCTGCTAGGACACAGCTAACTAACCAGGGCTTGAGTCTTCTCTTGGGGAATGTGCTTCGATGGTTCCCTGCCCACTCTTGGCTTCCTGATTAAAAGGCTGTCACCCATTAATCACGACTTCATCCTGTTAACGATCATTTTTTCTTTCTTTCTCTCTCTCTCTCTGTCCTTCTCTGTCTCTCTCTCTCTTTAAGGAAAAGTCTGAAGATTTAAAAAAGATGAGCAAATTCCAAGAACTTGGATGGAAGCCTGGCCTACATCCTTATTAGATAACTATCCATCGATCTGGGACTGTTCTGTGCGTGTGTCCTACCCACCTGGCATGTTGGGAGAGCTAAATCAATGCCACAATGACATGCTGTCTTTCTCCACTTGAGATTGAAGCAGTCAGCCTCTCTCACTGACAATACATATGGTAAAGAGGGCCTGCTCATCGTTTTTTCTGTTTTATTTATATATTTTAATATATTTTCTGTCAGTGACTTTCTGTTAGTCTCAAGATTACTTAGATAACTTTCTAATGAATAGATTTTGGAGAAGGGGGAGTTCCTTATTGTTTTCCCTCAATGTAGTAAAAAATTGAGTGGAACTTGGAGTTATCTCAGAGATAAGAGTTCTGATTTTAAATGCAATGGGCATTCGAAATATAGTGGTGTGGGTTGCCAACTAGGGACATAAATAAGTAGCCCTTCAGGCACCTGAGAATAGTGATAATCTTCACCCTTTGCTTGGAGATGGGCCAATCTCAGCAAACAGGAGCACAAACAGAAAAGTGCTTTATTTATTTGATATTTGACAAGCACAACCCTTTTAAAACCGTAAAGTAAAACCGAACTACCCAGTGAAAGTCAATGAAGTAGAAAAACTTGGATGCGAAATTCGCTGTTCTGCCCCACTACCTTACCCAGGAGCCTCTGGCTGTGGGGTGCCCTGGGTCAACCCCCACCCTCTTTAGACTCCAACTCTCTCCAAGCTCTTCCACCTGCAGGAAGATCCCAGCTCTCTCTATGAACTTGCTTGCCTTGTGCTCTACATGAGGTTCTTGCCCACCCAACCTTGTCCTACCTTGGGGTTGGGGCCTTGGTTGTTAGAGGGGACATGCTTTGTCTCATGTGTAATCCTTGGTATCCTATGCCTAGACCAACGTGGTAAAGTGAAGCTGAATTCTTATGCTGTATTTCAGACCAATCACATCAGGGATTCCTACCACCTGCACACTTCCCACTTGCCTTTGATCCTCCCAGCCTCCTTATTATTGCATTTTTATGTTCAAAACCCCAAACTGGCCTTTCACTGAGTTGTCGCAGTGAATGTTGTCACATCAGTGACCCTCCTGGCTTGTCACTTCCTCAAGATGTTGTGTCTTCCCGTTAATGGTGATTCCTGCCCACTGACTAATCCAATTTCAGTTTGAAAGCACCAATAGTTTATGTGAGATTCTACAGTTAAATAGTGGAGGGAAGGGAGAACATTGCATGAGATGAAATAAAATAGGACCCTCAGAGAGGATACTTAAAATCACCCTACAAAGTTTTAGTTTGAGGGCTCTTAAAATGGTTGGTTTCAAAGCCTTATAAAAAAAGCTTACAAATGAAATGAGATCTTTTTTCACTTAGTGATGATAAGGAATCAAAAAGAGCAAGATTTTAACTCCCTGTTAAATGAGAAGATACAGCAGCAAGTATGAATATGAGCTTCTGTAAATAGCTCCTTCCATATTCCCTTTAGCAGGACATGCCTCTCCCAATTTGGTTAAATAATAAAAAATGGTGCAAGAAATTTCCATCAGAGGTGGAACAGGGCAGCAGAAAGTTCACTACACCAAAACAAAGGTCATGGGTGAGCAGGACACAACTCTAATTTGGTGGGAGCATCACTCAATCTTTCTATACATTAATTACCTGCAGCTGAAAATAGCAGAGGTATCTAACCCACAGATAAGTAGTAAAGTAAAACAGATGTGAAAAACCAGGATGATGTGTAATGTGAAGGGATAATATTACTCCCTAAATGCTAGAAACTGCTATTTTCAATTTAAATTCAAGTAACTTCCTATGTAACTTAAAGATTTCAAAGCATTTAATAGGAAGCATAAGATAAGCCCTAAGGATGGTGAATCGGTAATAAAACAACGAAATTAACATGGAAAACCATATGAGGATCCTTTACAGCCTTTCCTTTAACCAATCACATAGGAAGAGTGTGGAGACTTTAAGTTCACTCCAAAATAGCTTTGCAAACTAGTACCAAAACTTAATCAGCTTCCCACTCCAATACATGTCTTCATCCTCCTAAGCTTTACCCAAAATGAAAAGAATGTAGTAATTGCACAAATAATTTATTCATTCCATTTATTGCCTAAGTGGGCACACAAAACTGAATAACATTAAAAAATAATTCAACGTGTATAGTCAAGGTCAATTTCGCAAAGTAAGACATACCTGACCCAAAAGTTGTTGGGCTTTGCCCATAGGACCCCGCCTATTCAGAGACATTGAGGATGGGAGGAGCAGACAGGAAGAAAAGACAGTTGAGGATCCCCTTATAATAAAGTATACATTATTTTCTATTTTGTTTGCCCAATCTTTCATAATTAAATAAAAGAACATTTTGTTCCATGTATAACCAAAATAAGCAATTATATATTATTTTAAAACTTTGCCTGATTTTATGGTATCATGTATTTAATGGGTAATGTTATAGTTATTAAAAAGTACATATCGCCTTCAAGACAGTATTCTAAGTTTGTTGGCTTTTTTTCAGGGTTCTGTGACAGGGCCCAGCAGTTCCTAAAAGTGCTGAAAACGAAGTGGTAGATGAGCTTGAACTTGATGGTTTTGAGGTCCTTAAAAAACAATACTGCGTTTTTAATGGGGTTACATAGGGTGAGGAGCTAAAGAGCTTTTTCTTTCCCTGCATGTTTCTCACTTTGAAGTTAGAAAAGCAGCTCAATCTGATTGAGCTAGGTTGGGGGTAAAGAACTCGCCAGGTTTTTACAAATGAAAGCAAATGCTTAGAAGTAGAATTAAAAGCCAATGTACACTAAACTGTTAGTGTTAACTGATGCCAGCCCGATCCTACTCAAAAAGTGGAGTGTGAACCATTCAAAGCAATACTTTTCTCCTTTCAGAAGGAGAGGCCTACACACCAGGTAGCAGAGCAGGAACCATCAGGGCATCTCACTCAAAACTCACTGGTTGGGATTTACCGCATGCATCTCAGAGACAGGTAGATTTTGAACGGGGAGGTATGTCACAAAACATCCGGCTCAGACCATGGGGTCGGAGCAGAACACCATGTTTCATGGAATTCTCATGTTTTACATGATATTAATAAAGAAAATTTGTAAAAAAAAAAAAAAAAAAAAAGAAAGAAAGAAAAGATTTCCATGATCAAATATGTTTGAGAAATTGAGTTGATCAAGTTTAAATAAGTTTCTTGGGCCTGTGAGCTTTTTTTGAACAGATAGTTCTTAGATGATGTCTGGATGTTTATGTTCTTTGGGACACAGTTTGGGAGACAGCAAATAAAATATTATTATCCCTGGTTTACAGATGAGGGAGTGGAGGCCTATGGAGATTATGTCCTAGAAGGCGAAGAACACGGGTCTGCAGCCTCCTACCCAGCCAGGGACCAGTCAGAAATCCAAGAAAAGACAAACTGCAGCTAGAGCTCCCAGCAATGTACATATCCTGGAAAGGTCTCCTAAAATGAGTGCTTTTGAAAAGTACACACTTTTCCTTTTCTGATTCAGTCAGGACATGTAGGCCCTCCCAAATCAAAGTACCTGATACAAAGGCATGCAGATGCTATCAATCCACTCGAGTTGCAACCGAGGCAGTTCATCTTTCCGGTTCCGATCAAAAATAGCCTAGAATGGGGTTGGTGGGGAGAGAACTTTGCTTTATTACACCAAAGTATTTTACAGGGTGCTTTGTCAAACACTTTGCTGCAATGATCCGTTTTTTACAAACTGAACCCTTCACAAATCACAATCAATCTTTACACGTACTTTCTTTTCCTTTATCTATGATAGAAATAAAATGTTTTTTACCTCTTTTTATGATATTTGTAAGCAAATTTACTTGAACTTTATAGTGTGCAACTTCTTGGGGCAAAAATCTGTCTTCAAATATAAGTAACTGCTACTAAATCAAGTCATCAGGTCACTGGGAATTGCGTACAAGTCAAGGGGAAAGGAATATGTTTTACTGCCACAAAAATAATGCAGGCTTTTATTTCTATAGTGAGAGGTTGGGATAGAGTGGGACAGATTGGAAAATATACTTAAAAGCAATTTTATTTTAAATAGAAACCATTTATATTAATTTTTCAGGGTGAGGGGTTGATTTGGAAATTACATATGTTTTTCAGTAAGGTTCTATCATTAATAATTTTTAAATATTTATCTATCATTGTATGGATGATGGTAGGTGGCACTCATTATCTCTTCATTCTCAGCCCTTAAACTTTATGATGTTATAATGTTCGAGATAGTTTAGGTATATTTTTGAGAAAAATAAATAACATTTTTCTGTTGGGCAGACTTAAGGGAAACAATCAATTGGAATTTTAGTGTTAAAATTAATTCACTGAACAAACACTGCCAATTCTATGCCAGTGAGACTGTCCCTCCCTTCATTCTTAAGGAGTCAGGCCCAGGGTTGAGAAGCTCCCTTGTGCCCTTACTTATCTAGAAGACTGGGCTATCTAGTTATAACTTGCCCTCCCTTAATGTCATACAGTAAGTTTTGTCTTTCCTCTATATAAAATGTGGCATTCACATCATTTTGGTGTCCTTATAGGTCATGAGGGTGGAGCCAAGCAATCCCTTGGTCCAGAGATGTTGGAAAATCCTGCATCCTTCAGATGTATGAAGAAGAGTGGGAGTGGACGGGGCAGAAACCACTAGCTGCCAAATCTGAGGAAAATATCTCCAAATTGGGGAGATGGCCACTGATTCCCACAGGTCTTCTCATCATGGTCTTGCAGTGGGAGATGGGAAAAATCAGGAAAGAAGATTGGAATTTGGAGAAAATTGTGAAAATATGTTGGAGAGAGGGATAGTTCTTGTGAACAATATGAGTCTTGGTCCAAAATGTTTCTTTACAGCTGGGTACAGTGGCTCATGCATGTAATCCTACTTTGGGAGGTTGAGGCAGGAGGATCACTTGAGCTCAAGAGTTCAAGACCAGCCTGGACAACAGAGTGAGGCCCCTGTCTCTACAAGAAAAAAAAAAAAAAAAAAAGAATTAGCCAGCTGTGGTGGCATACACCAGTACTCCCAGCTACTCAGGAGGCTGAAGTGAAAAGTTTGCTTAAGTTCAAGAGCTCGAGGGTGCAATGAGCCACAACTGCGTCATTGCACTCTAGCCTGGGTGACAGTGAGACTCTGCCTCAAAAATAAATAAATAAATAAACAAAATATCCCTTTAAAAAATATTATTCTGGGCTGGGCACAGTGGTTCACACCTGTAGTTCTAGCAGTTTTTGAGGCCAAGCCAGGAGGATCACTTGAGGTCAGGAGTTTGAGACCAGCCTGGCCAACATGGCAAAACCCTGTCGCCACAGGCAAAAAATTAGCCAGGCATGGTGGTGGGCACCTGTAATCTCAGCTACCTGGGAGGCTAAGGCAGGAGAATAACTTGAACCTGGGAGGCAGAGGTTACAATGAGCCAAGATTGTGCCACTGCACTCCAGCCTGGGAGACTCCGTCTCAAAAAAAAAAAAAAAAAAAAAGAATTATGTCTTATTTTCTCTATAGTTCACTTTGCGATCTAAAATTTTTTATTTATTTAATTACTCCATTTCTAGTGGATATTAGAAAGTTACTTTTTAAAAAATGCAGTGATTTTTAATATATTTATAAAGTTGTGCAACAATCACTACAATTATAGAACATTATTATCACCCTCAAAGAAACCACATACCATTAGCAGTCAGTCTTGTTTTTTCCCAAACTCCCAGCCTTAGGCAACCACTAATCTATTTTCTGTATCTATGCACTTGCTTATTCTGCACATTTTCATATAAATTGAATCTTATGATATGTGGTCTTTTGTGACTGGCTTCTTTCACTTAGCATAATGTTTTCAAGCTTTATCCATGTAGCATGCATCAGTACTTCATTTTTGTTGCCAAATAATATTTCATTGTATAGATGTTTTATTTATTTGTTCATCAGTTGATTGACGTTTGACTTGCTTCCAGGACATTATGAATAATAGCTGTGAACATTCACATACAAGTTTTGTGTGGATGTAAGTTTTCATTTCTTTTGGGGAAATACCTAGAGGTAGAATTTCTAAGTCATATGGTAACTCTGTTTAGCTTTTGAGGAACTGACAAGCTGTTTTTCAAAGCAGCTCCACCATTTTACATTGTATGAGGTTCCAGTTTTTCCACAGCCTCACCCAGTACTTGTTATTGTCTGTCTTTTTTGCTATAGCCATCTTAGTGGCTGTGAAGTGATATCTCATTGTAGTTTCAGTTTCATTTCCCTGATGACTAATGATTTTGAGCATCTTTTCATGTGCTTTGTGTCCATTTACATATTTTCTTTGGAGATATGTCTGTTCAGATCCTTTGCCTATGTTTTAAATTGAGTTCTCTGTCTTTCTATTGTTCAGTTACAATAGAATATTGTATTCTAGATACTTGAACCATAAAAGATATATGATTTGCAAATATTTTCCTGTAATATGGGTTGTCTCTTCACTTTCTTGATAGTGTCCTTTGATCCATGAAAGTTTTTAATTTTGATAAAGTTCAATTTAATTTTTTTTTTTTTTTTGAGACAGTCTTGCTCTATTGCCCAGGCTGGAGTGCAGTGGTGCAATGTGGCTCACTGCAACCTCTGCCTCCCGGGTTCAAGTGATTCTCCTGCCTCAACCTCCCAAGTAGCAGGGATTACAGGTGCCCACCACCACCCCTGGCTAATTTTTGTATTTTTAGTAGAGTTGCGGTTTCACCATGTTGTCCAGGCTGGCCTCGAACTCCTGACCTCAAGTGATCAGCCCACCTTGGCCTCCCAAAGTGCTGGAATTACAGGCACCAGCCACCTCTCCTAGCTGTCCAATTTAATTTTAATGAAGTTCAGTTCAACATCTCTGGACCAACATCTCTGGGTCATCTTATCTTTTGCCTCCTTTGCTTTTGGTTTCATATTTAAGACACCATGGATAACCCCAATCCAGAAGATTTATACCTATATTTTCTTCTAGTTTTATCATTTTAGCCCTTACATTTAAGTGTATGATCCATTTTGAGTTTATTTCAGGGTATGCTGAGAGGTAGGGAACTAATTTCATTTTTTTTTTTATTTCCTGATCAACAGCTGTGAAATAACTTCATTCTTTTGCCTGTGGATAAAAGTTGTCCCTAAGCCATTGTTGAAAAGATGTTATCTTGGCACCCATGTTGAACATCAGTTGACCATAATTGTAAGGGGTTTATTTTTGGACTAGTCACTTCTTAATCAATGCTTGATGAGAGAAAAATGAGTGTGAGGCCCCACACAGTGCTGAACTTCACAGCGTTTTGCATCTCATAAAATGAGTATTAGTAATTATTTATTTCATGTCTACATTCCCCACCAGTTGACATGGTCCTTGAGGGCAGGGAAGGTAGTGTCTTACTAATTGCTGGATACACAGTGCCTTGCTTCATGCCCAACACATGGGGGCACTCAGACTTTCCTAACTGACTCACTGCTTCCAGTCCTGACCCTCTGGCTGTGAGCAGAATAGCCTTTATCTTCATGAAGTGACTCCCATGACATCTGGGACCATGATACCTGAGGAGGCTGGCTCCAGGACAGTTTTCTTCCTACATATCAAGGGATAATGGGCACAGCAGGTGTCAGCTCTGGGTGCATGCATTTACAAATATTTCTGGAAAAGAACGGACGACTAACCCTGCCACATCAGCCAGGCCTCCCTGAGGAGATGGTCATCAGTGGTGATCTGTAGTCTTTGTGAGAAGACAGGAGCATTTACAGCTATGTTTCTACCACAAAATTAATTTCATTTATGTCTGCAGAAAATGCCTTACCTGAGCCTACAGATAAAGTCTCCTTAGTGCTACGCTACTGCATCTGCCAGCTCACCGGTGCTGGCAATTGACTCATATTTTTTTTCATTTAATTAAATGACCTGTGGTATTGCTGCATTAAAAACCCTTCAGAGTATGCCTCTGAAACAGTTTTTAAAGGGGGAAAAGCTTTTATTTGAAAGTAGATATGAGAGAATTTGGGTCATACTAGATTTTATACATTAACTGTATGTATCCCAAGCTAATATTTTTTATTTTTATGACAAAATTTGGTAACACCACCAAAAAAAGGGATGTTTTGAAAACTAAGTCAGTGTTGCTTTGAAAACTCAAATAACTGGTGTGTGTGTGTCAACCTATATAGCCTCCTGACCTTTGTACATAAGCAACCGATTAAGAATAGTCAAAATTAGTAAGACTGTGCGTTCTGACTTCAAGCAGGTGAAACTATTCAAACTAGGAGATAGTTCTTTTGCTTTTCCTTGTTTTTAAATGCCAGCAAAGAAGGATGTCTTAAAATTTGAAGATCTTATAAATACCTCCAAATGTTCAAGCTCAGTTAATTTGGGTTCTTACAAACAGACATTCTTGATAATAGATACATTCCTTGGGTGTCATTGAATCTATCGTGCTATGCCAGGTTTTAAAATGCTTTGCACCACTCTCAGAGTCATTGGGTTATATGTTTTTAGCTAATCATTGCGTTATATGTTTTTAGCTAATCTTTGGGTTATATGTTTTTAGCTAATCATTGGTTAGTAATAAAGAGCTAATCATCAGGTTATGCTTTTAGCTAATCATTGGTTAGTTATATATTTTTAGCTAATCACTGCCTGCCTTGAGGTGGTGACTGAGGCAGTTATGTCTTCTGTATTCTTATGCTTAAAAATAGCATCATCTTGAGCCTACAGTAAGCACTTAAGCAACAATTGAACAGGTGAGTCCAATATAAATCGGGTTCCAATCATCAGCACCTAGTTCCCCAGGTGAAACTTTTTCATTTTACAGACAAAGGAAAGAATCAGAGATTTGCAATGATTTGCTTTTGGGATTTTGAAAAGTTGGAAATTGGAAAATAAAATCTAGCTTCTCAAAGCTGGACAGCCTGCCTTTAATTTTTGCTGTATAGTATTTCTATTCTAAAGTAGGCATACATGAAATGCCAGCACTGGGTTTTGAATTATTCAGATTCCACTTTGCTCATCCTCCCTCGTGCCTACTTGTCCCACTGTGGGTGCACAGGAAATGCTTGTTAAGTAGCTTACCACTCTTAATCAGAAACCTGGGAATAAGAGTGTTTAGCATTTAAGTTTAATTAAGGTTTTAAACTTTCAGGAGTGCTTCCTTAAACCCATTTTCAGTCTTTCCCATTTCCAACTTGTAATTTGGAGTTGTTTTTGAAAATGTCATTCAAAAGGGTAAATACATGATAATTAAAGGATGAAACTCACTGAAGGAGTAAGTTTGAGTTCTGATCTCTCTCGATCTCCTTGTTCGAAGAACTCGCTCGTTACAAGTTCTGCCACCTGAAACATAAATATTTTAATTCAAGCTTATGTGTAATTTATCACGAGACTCAGAAGTTCTTTCTTGCTTATGTATTTAGTGATCCTCATCAACACAGACAATCATTTAAAAAGCTTATGAGGAAGTGAGTATATTAACCTTTTATGTTTGAAGGTGTTACAGAACTTAATGAAACTGATTTCCTTTTAATCAGGAGAACTTCTGCAATGTGATTTTAAATGCATGCCAACAATATCCCACAGCACAGCTTCCATATTTGGGATGAGGCAATAGATTACCGGCTTCAAAGTGGGAAAAGTTCTTATACAGAAAAGTGAAGCAAATATTCATTTAATAATAATGTATAATTATCATTATATTATGTAATGATAGTTTAGCCAACTTTTGATTGTTTCTATGTCGATTCTTAATTTTGCTGCATACTTTTATGTTAGCCCAGCTTCATCTTGCCACAAAACTCCTCAACTTCCTCCCTACCAATATTTGTGTGCACTCTGGGAGGGATAACCCCAGGGCACATCCTCTGCTTCCTACTGTTGCAATCAATCAAGAGGCAGGACTAATGCTAGATTCACTATTCACAGCAGACTTTTACAGTAGGTCACGGTATAGTTTGAAGAGCGTGACTTGGTCTTCAGGCTGTCTGGATCTACGCACTAAAAGTGTTAATTTATGGTAGGGTCTAGTTGGTACAAGGACAATGGGACACTTGTTCTACCTTAAACCTGAAATAGAGACTTATATTTTTCTACTTTTAATCCATTAGCTTGGGTGATCAGCAGCTACCGATTATTGCCAAGCTAAACAGATTTCCTTTTTCTTTTCTGCAACTTCACTTCTCAGGATAGTTTGTGGGAAGCAAATTGATATAACAGATTAAATGTTGATCAACAGTACTATGGTGTGCATCTAGAAAATTTTTGAGATGAACTAGCTGGATTTAAAACATGCTGGAAGAGTAGAATAAATCCCAGACAACTTCATGGCAAGAGGACCTGGATACCAAACTAATTTTTCTCTATGCCAGGTTCTTATGAAGATAAGGTTCTTAAACCTGGCAAAGATGAGACAGTTTAATTTTGGTGAAGTGCATAGTATCAAGATAATTTAACTCCACTGATCTCTCAAGAGATTTGGTCAACCACACAGATCATAGATAAAACCGAAACACAACATTAAACACACACGCACAGACACACAGACACACACACACACACACAAATCTTAGAGTAGCATGTGTACAGTCACATACAAAGAAATCAAATATCCAGTAAGCTCAGATTTCTAATATTTCTAATAAGAAACATGGGCCCCTTTCAAGAATTCAACTGCATAAAACTAGTTGGAACTGACTGAAAAATCCCTTTACCCCAACCTCTGGCTCACTTGTATATGTGCCTGTTTTCTTGGATTCAATTCACTTGTCTCCTCTCCAATCTCTCCTGCTACCCTGCATTTCAGCACACCAGGCTTCTCTCTTCTTTCTCTGGCTTTCCTTTGAAGAAGAAATGGTCCCCTAAGGGTATGGCCTTATTTATTCAGTTCCCAGAACTCTCCCTCAGGTTGCTCTGAGCTAGGTCTTTTGCATTAAAGAATGTAAATGTGCACATCAGGCACTTCAAGGTGGGAGTCCTGCATAGGTCTGTAGCCCCTGGAAGGCAAAGAAATTAAAACAAAATTCTGTCATTGCTGTTTCTCAAGTGGTCCTTGGTATCTCCCCAGTGCTCCTTTCACAACTTAGCTTGCATAACTGCTTTGTTTGTATTTAAAAACCCAATCAGGAACATTAAGTTGTTCCTGATTGAATTTTTTATTAAAGAAGGAAATTGAGATGCTAATCAGGCCTTGGGGGAATCACTGGGGAAACCCACATGTTTAGAGTCTTGTTTGCAAGAAAGGAAATGAAATAGACCCCAGTAGAAAACATTTTGAAAGGGAATTTTAAAAAATCAACATCCAGGAAGTTAGAGAAATATTTTTAAAAATATTTTGTTCAAATGTTTTGTCCAATGTTTCCTAAAATTTTGAAGTGAGCATTAAAAAATTTAACCCATCAATTTGGAGACAAACAAGAATGAGATTGCTAGTTTAGAACTGTGACAAGCTTTTTGATGGAAACATTTGGAAAAACATGGTTTTGTATTTTATTTCCCTGAACTCTTAGGTTTCTGCACTTGTCAACAGAACCCCACATCCAGAAAATAAAATAATATTTATACTCGTGACTGAGAAGACCACCTACAAGCAGCTATTGGGCCTCCCAAGTTGGTCTAAAATATTAAGGCAGAATTTTTTTTCCTTGCAAGTACTTTGCCCCATCACTTTCTTGTCCCCAGGGGCTACTGCTCCCTCAGTTCTTGACACGCATTTCACTGGGGTTTCTGAAGGTGCTGGCACATCATACCTCACCTTACTCCCTTTCTGGTCTGCTCTCAGTCCTCCTAACTTCCTCACACTCCCCACCTCCTTCCAACCCGATATAAGCAGCCTCCCCCGGTACTACACTTTCCCCTAATACCTGGAAGAGCCTCCGACCTCTTCCCTGCAGTCTGCTCTCCAGCTCTCCCAGAAGGGAGGCCTTCCCACAGTCGGCAGGGGATAGGGTAAGATAAACAGTGGGAAGACATGTGGAAGGAAGCTAGTCAACCACACAGATTCTTCACAATTATGCTGCTTTATGTGACTTTTTGTAACTTTAAATATGTCATACTGAAATTTAAACCAAAGCACAATTGGTGGAATATTATATAGGAAAACTGCCTGATCTTCATTAGACAATGTTAGCAGGCAATAAACCTTTATTTGTGTTGAACAGCTAAAATTTCAGAATATGTTTCTTACTGAACCAAAGCCTAGCGTAGCATTGACTAATACAAAAATTGGTATGGAAGTGAGGTGCTGCTGTTAAAAGAGAAAAGAAGAGAAAGAGAAAAGGACCCTAAAATATGTGTCATCAGCTTGCGGGCCAGGTATCAGAGAGTGAGGAGGCTATAAGGATAAGAATCCATGGCAAAATAATTTGTACAATTATAACTAAAAGCTAACAATGTTCTGAATAAACTTACAGTCTTCGGAGATGAGATTAGAAAACAAAATGTTGGTAGCATGTGATGGTTGCCACTGACAATTTTGCTGGGAATTACAGGAAGTAAGTTTAGAAAAGAATGAACAGGCTTAAAACCAGGAAAGAAAGGGAATGGGAAAAGTCACAAGTTCAGGGACTTGTAGGGATGGAAGATAAAGTTGTTTCTCAATTCCAAACTATGAACGTGAAAATTGTGATATGCTTTGAATGACGAAGTTTGATGAAGACTCAGCTTTGTAACCAGAATAAAATCAAAGGTCCTGCCAACATACCTATAGTTAGAAACTGAATGAATTAGGCAGTTTGCAGCATATCCTTTTAGCTGGAAAAAAGTGGCTCAAAGAAATGATTTACCTATATGGCTTTCTCACTGAAGCCTGTTAGGCCCAAGGCACTAGGAATTAAGTCAGAAGAGAGAAAGAAATATATTTGCCATATTTCTTGATTCTTAAATGTAAAGAAGCAAATAAATACAGAATATCTAAGATGTTTGTATAGAATGTGGATGTGGTTATTGGCAAATGGGAAGGACTAGAATCAAAGACATAAAAAAATGACTAAACGAAGAAAAGAGTTTTAGTGCTAAAGAAACCCTGAGCTCATGATTACACAAAACAAGTGTTGGGCCTTCAACTCTCTTTAGGTGAGAAGAAGGCAGCTTGACCTTCAGATAAAGCTAAGAAGGATGATGAGAAAGCAATAATTTCTCAGGGAGGATTGAAAGGTAATGGGAAATAAGGAACTGGAGAGCATCTCCCAGAGAACCAGGGTCCCCTGCATGGTAGAGCACCGTCACAGCTAGTGCCCAGCAGGATTTTGGAGTTGCCATGGACCACTCACCACTCCACATTGCTATGAATGTTGCTCATCTCCTCCCCTTCTGAATGGGAGTGTTATAATGGGTATTTTGTGTTTTGAGTGTATGTTGGTTGCTGTATTTTGGGTTTGTGTAGGTCCTTCATCTGCATCCAGATCTGTTTCAAAGATGAGCATGTATTGCTCAGAGATCCTAGATTTTGAGTTTGATGCAATGACTGATGATATATTTGGGTTATCTTTCTTGGAGGAAGAATGAGTATATTTTGTCTGCTGGAGGGAGAATGAATCACAGTTTTGGTGTTGAGAAGGGCAAACCCTGGTAGACATGCATTCACTATTTCTGGCTTTCTCCTTTCTGAGCAAATAGAAGGATTGTTCTTCCTGGTTGGGGGAGTCATGTGACAAGTTCTGGCCGATGAATTGTTGTGGGGAGTATTTAATTGCCAGTGCAAGCCCTCCAGGGCCTCTGTCAGAAAGATCCGGGTACTGGCTGCTCCTTCAATCCCAATACAGAATAAGGACAAAGTGGTGCCTGCCAACCCTAAGTGCTCATGTTCATGGGAATTTGTTGTTTAAAGCCACTGAGATTTTGGGTTAAGTGATAACATAGCCTATTCTGTGGATACATTTGCATCATTTAAAAATGCTGACTAATGCATTCTGTGAAGAAAAACATAAAACACTGCTAAGAATGAAAGCTCTGGAGCCTAACCTGCTAGGATCTATACCTAGCTCTACCACCTACAAGCTGTATAAACCCAGGCTACTTACCTTTTCTAAGCCTCATTTTCCCCATTTATGAAATGGGTATAACTACATTAGTTTCCTAAGGCTGCTGTAAATTACCACAAAGTCAGTGGCCAAAACAACAGGGACTGTATTCTCTCATAGTTCTGGAGGCCGGAGTTCTCCATCAGTTCACTGGGCAGAAATCGAGGTGTCAGCAGGGATGTGCTCCCTCTGGAGGCTCTTGGAGAGAATCTGCTTCTTGCCTCTTCTAGTTTTCCCTCACTCGTGCCTGCATCCCTGCGATCTCTGCCTTGTCTTTGCATTGCCTTTTCTTCTGAGTGTGGAATTTCCCTCTGCTCCCTCTTATAAGGACACTTATAGGATTTAGGGCACACTTGGATAATCCAGGATCAGTCTACAGTTGAGATTCGTAATCACATTTGCAAAAATACTCTTTCATTAGAAGGTAATGTTTACAGGTTTTGGGGATTAGGACCTGATATCTTCGGGTTGCCATTATTCAGCTGACTACAATTTTAAGGATTAAATGAGATCATATACATAAAGCAGTCCATAAATATTAATTACGTATTGATATGGAAATGTATCTTATTTTCTCTAAAATGTCAAGTCTCTAGATGCCAAGTTACTGTTTTGGACCTCGCACAGTAGGTGCATTATAAAACATACATAATAATTAACCTCTAAATAGTATCAGTAATCCACGATCTTAATTTGGGTAGTTACTTAATTGAAAACTATTCTTATAGAATTAATGCTTTGTGGCAGAGAAATCAGATAGGTAGTAAAGGCATGGTTTGTTTTTCTGCAAATTAAATCGGACACTTCACATTTTGACTACAGAGCTTTCTGATATCTAAATAATATTTAAAAAGAAAAATATAATTTCCTTTTTGTCTCCTTTTATTTTCAGATATTAAAAAAACAAGACCCTGTGCTAAGACGTGATTATCTTGCCAAAAATCCTATCTTTGAAATTCCTGCCTTAATGGTCAATGTATTATTCAGCTTTAGCACATTAAAAAAAATCTTAGAGTCAGAAATATTATTGCTCAGTGAAAGCACAATAAAAAAAAAAAAAGGCTGTGCAATAAACCATGTCGCGCCCAAGCCTCCTGCTATTTTTTACACCATGTTAATACTGATGCAAATTGACTAGGGTTTCAGTGCCTGGTAGTCAGGGCTCTGGGAATATTGTGTCCCCCTTACCTCCCCCAGTCCCTCCTCTGCTGAGCCCTGCCATTAATCACCACTTGCCTGTCTTGAGATCTCCCACGGTTTGGTCACGGCTCCAAGGTCACAGGCTGTCATTAACATTGATCTGAAAAACAGAACCAAACAAAACAGCCTGAATAATCTTTTGTTGCATTCCTAAACAAACCCATCCTAGATACATAAATAAATAACATAAAATGGAAACGAGGCCAGCTCACATCTTCCTTTCCTCAACAAGGGCCAGCACTGTTTACAGTCCCTGTGTTCAGCATCTCCATCATGTGGCCACACTGCTTAGGAAGACAAAGCTCTCACACATCCTCCGGTAGCCCTTTTGTTTTGTCTGCAGCAAATCAAGGAAAGCAAGGCACTACTTTCTCTGCACCTGAGCTAAGCAAGCTCTGCTTAAAATAATTTATAATGGACAATGTTGTTGGTTTTGTGTAAACTACAAGGAAGAGAATCAGTATATAACACTATATACATGGCTGATGAAACTACTTATCAATCTATCATTGATTGATGGGAACAAAAGAAAACCCACACCAAAGAGGCAAGGCACATGCCACATAAGGGGCTGCTTTATTTTCATCTGCTCTATAGAGCTAAGATTTACGGGCAAGAGCCGTATCGTTTTACTCCAGTTTACTACCTGGCTCCAACCATGGTTTATAAGCATTATGAAGAAGAAACATACTCAGCTCCAGCTTTCATTAATTTGGGCACATAAGAAAGCACAGAAATGGTCTGAATCAGAGTTTTGAGGGGCAGGTTTAACTATAATTCACACTAAACCATGGAAACATGGGGAACAATTCAAATTGTAGATAGCTCTGGTACTTATATATAATTTAATGTGGTGGGAGGAGGAAAAATAAGGCACACTCTGTCCCAAATCTGCTTTCTTTGTGCTGAAAACCAGCAGAATTGATGAAAAATAACATAGAATCTGAGCTGGGGAACCACATCTTGGCTAACTGCTTTTGAAAGAAAGGGATATGTAGCCAAAGGTCAGAGGGTTGTCCTGATGTCGGGTGTTAACATTTCATACCCTGCCAGATCTAATACCTTGGAAACATGTCTGCTGTCCAGATGGCAGAGCATGCTTAGATGGCAGGGGGGTCCCCCCACAGGAAACAAGGCAGAGTCACAGATAACAATAGGTCATTCAAGGCACAACCAGGCACACTGGCATCAGCAGCCCTCTTGACCGGAGCAGCATTCATGAAGCATCTAATTCCAAATATCCCTGTGTTAAGTACTACTCAAAGAGAGACACATCAGCCTATTCATTTTTGACCTTCTGTATCAGGCATTTCTACATTACTTACCATGTGTCTGTCTCTGTACTAAGTGCGTTACTAACCAACTGCTAACTAAACTACTAACTAAATGAATCATCATCACCACCTCAGAGGTGGTTGCTATTATCCTTATTTTACAAAGAAGTAAACAGAAGCATGCAGAGATTAAATCACTTTCCCTTCCCAAGGTGAGTAAAGGACTCAGGATTCTGTGCCTATCACAAAGCTACCAGATGCCCTCTTGCTACACATGGATACTGTCAGTACTGGAGGAGGACAAGACTGGCTAAAGCATTGGATTTCTCAGCATCTCTCCTGCACAGCAAATAATCTCTGTGAGGTTGCCTGTTTGTATCATAATGTGGACAATTATTTAGGTTCTATCTGATTGGTAATTTGACACTTACTCCTCAAATTCATATTGTCATTAATCAGTTGATCAAGTTTATTGAGTATCTGCTAGGTGCTCAGATGATAATCCTAATAGTTACTACTTATTGGGAAGCCTCTACAGAGTGACTAACTCAGTCTCTATATGTGGTAGAGAAACTATTATTATCTCCTCTTTACAGATCAAAAAAATAATGCTCAGAAAGGTTAGGTAACTTGCCCAGGGTTGTACAGCTAAGAGTGTCAAAGCTAGGATTGGAATCCATTGTCTGACAGAAGAATCTCTACTTCAATAAATGTGGTGGAGCAGGAAGTCCATGCAGAGAAGGGAGATAGGACAGGCTGGGAGGTAGGACCGCTGGAGTGGCTGCAACCTTTGTCCACCTGGCACTGGGGAGTCACACTAAGGCTGGGGACTCAGGAGGGACCTGGACAGACCATTAGGGAGGAAACATTGGGTGGTGGATGTGTGGATGGTTTGAAGAAGAGGGTGAAGGAAGGAGACTCATTGGAGACATAAATTGATAAGAGCCTAAAACAAGGAAGGGAGAGTGGGAAGGGAAGCACAGGGATGGAAGATTACAAAAGAAGAACTGAAGAAAACGAATGAGCAGTTGTATCTTATTTTTTAGATTAAGGCTCTTCAAGAAGTGAAATATGTTTTCGAGAGTAAGAGACCAGAGAGAGACTTCTTTCAACTGTTTTAGTCTGAGGTCCCCATAATTCTAGTTCAATTTACAGTAAACATACCTCTCCTCTCTATGGCAAAATTATTTCAGTAATAATCTTGCGACAATCATTATCTTCTTGATTTGTTCTGTAGTTGTAAAACAATTTAAAATGAACACATTTTAATGTTAAAGATATATTCAAATTGAGTAAAAAGATTTTGTGTACAGACTGAAATTTGCACTTGCCAAACAAAAATATGACACTTTGCAGTTTGCACTTTATTTCTCTGTTTTAAATTTTAAACATGAATAAAACCCATGAATGATCACATAAAATGGCAGAATGGAAGTATCTCAAATTATGTGTCTTCATCTTTACTAGCACTATGCTATCATTGTTTATTCTGAATATAGTATAAAAATACTTCATATTCCTGCTTATTTCTTTAAAAGCAGGAATATGAAGTGCTGCAAGGTTGGAAACACAAACGGCACCCAGAGAGTTTGAGAGGTTCCGAACAGTTAGGAACTTACTATTGAAAGTGTGTAGCTGCATCCACCTTTGTCAGGAACCAGCTGTATGACTGGGCATTCTTAGAATTAACTTACATTATGTGTGCAAAGAAAGGATAAATAATAAACACTAATGTGAAACTTTCATATCAATTATTTTTATCTTAACAGTAACCTCAGCAATTGTTTGGAATTTATACCAACAAAAGACATTTCTTAAGAGGTATATCTCATCATTGACTTTATTCAGAATTGCTGGCACATGGTGATAATAAAAAGCAGACCGAATTTTAGTTGGCTTTATTACTATTTTAAAATTCTCTACAGATGGTGCTCCTTCAGATCACCACCCTTGGTGCAAGGTGGTCAGAGTGTAACCATGAAATGGGGGAGGGAGGACAGATGAGGGGAGAGGGGAGAACCTGGAGCTTCTCCATTTTATGTACTGCACTTCCAAACAAAATATTTCTTCCATATGGGGTTCCTTGTCAAAAAAGTCTGAAAACCTCTGTAGGAAAATATCTAGGTCGAGAAACTGAGAACTGGCATTTCAGGAAAAGAGCTCAGAAGAGAGTCTAAGCCCAAGAAAAGGTCTGGGAGTCATTTGAGAAGAGATAGTAGTGAAACTTATAAGGATGCTGAGGAAAAAGAGAAGAGAATAAAAAAAATACACCCTTGGGGGACAGTTCTGTTTAGGGGATGGTGGGGAAAGACGGGCTAGAAAAAGACTAAGAAGGAAAGAATCAGAAAGAAAGGAAAATCCAGAAGTGTATGGCTTTACGAATCCAAGGCTCGAGAGAGTTTTAAGAAAAGAGAGGCCAACTCAATTAGGGGCCATAAAGAGAGCAGGAAGCTGAAGAGAACAAAGGTTGTAGCATTTAATACTTGGAAGGTGACTGTGATATTCAACAGGAGCAGAAATCACATATTACAGACTTAATTCCTCAGTAAGGAATGGGTAAATACTCTGGTATGTCAGTCTTTTGGAATACTGTGCAACAATAAAAGATGAGGAGGTATAAACATGGAAAGAATTCCAAGGCATATAGTTGAGTGGAAAAACAGGTTCACATTGGTATGTAAATATACAATTTATGTTAAAATAGACAATCAAAATACACACTAAACTATTTTTCCTAAGGCTACATGTGTATGTGAATACCCTGGAAATGGTCTGGAAAGACACAATACACTAATAACAAAACATAGCTGTGCAACCCGTATCGGGATTGGGGGTTAAGCTCAAAGGAGATTTGGGGGCTTATTAGCAATATTTTGATTTGTTACAGAAAAATATATTCATATAATTACCGTGGAATTGGAAATTATACAAAAAGAAAGAAATTGCCTTGCAAGAAGTTAGGAAGTGTGGAGTGAAGTGGGGGAGTGCAGGGAGGAGAAACTGTGACGAGGCCTGGAGAAAAAGCAGCTTATAGGGATGACTTTTTAACTGGGGAGGCAGAGTGTGCTTTTAGGTTTAGAAGGGTCATGATGAATAAAACGTATTTTGAAAATGGAAGCCAAAGGAGCATGACTGATAGAGCCAGGTTGGGGTAGGGGGTGGGGAGGTGGAGGGAATGGAATTAGGGCACCAGTGGAGGGGCTGGTCTTGAAGATGAAAGACGGAGAAAAAGGTCTGTAAAGATCATACAGAGGAATATTAAAGTACAGAGGAAAGAACTACTTCCTCTGGGAAGAGGGCTGCAGGAAAGGCACGAGGACAGCTGCAGAGGGTGGGGCAGGCAGTGGCCTGTGCTCAGAAGATGGTGGCAGAGGTTTTATATAGCAGATATGGCAAGACTATGTCAAGGTTCCCACTTGGGTTGATCCAGTAGTTGCCTTGTTGTGGAGCAGATCCAATGTGCCCTAACCCTGGCCTCACAAGCTGTCCCAGCAAAACCTAGCAATGTTAGAACAGGAATAAGACAGCAGAAGGTCTGGGGTGTGTGAGGTGGAGCTAGTGGAAGGGTGGGGTATGAGAGAAAGAGGAATGGTGCCTACTATCTGGAATGGCTGCAAGAGAGGTTAAAATGTGCCCCATAGTTGTTGCTGTCCTTTCTAGATACCTTGGAAGTTGTCCCAGGCAACGGCTAGAACAGACTTTTTATCTCCACCTCCAATATTGTTCTTATTGGTTTTCTAGCCACAAGGCCTTTTGTCTTTAAAGAAAAGCAAAAGTTGCTCCCCACTTCCTTTGCGCTGTGTAACTCTGATTTCTAGGGTGCAAAAATCCTTTCTCCACCCAACTTGCACCCCCACTTCCCCAGAAAACAGAATAAATCATGGCTTGCTAAAACTGAAGTGATTTGAACTTCATTTTCTAATTTTGATGGCAGATTTTTGGAGAACAGACAAAAATATAATAAATTATAAGATGAAAAGACATTCTCAATCATTTCTCTAGTTATTCAACTGATTTCTGAATGTTTTAAATGTAAGCTAGGATTTGTTACTTTAAAAATCACTTCTATGTTCTTAGCACTGTCAGAAAAGTATGGCTAAATGTCCAAATAATGAAGAAACACATCAACAAGAGCTTTTTCTTACCGAAATATATCACGATGGTTTTTGATGTTCCAATCATATTCTCCTTTACTGACAAGTTCAAAGAATTCAGTTCTCCTCCTGCAGGAAAATCAAATGAAGAAAGAAGAAAAAAAACCTGGAATGAAATTTCCCAGTCTGTGGGGTGACATAAATACATTTACGGGAAAAACATAAGACCACCTGAACCAAGTAACTTAATATTTGAAATCATGAGGCTAAAGCGCTATCAAAATAAATCACTTTCTAAAAAATGTTGAGGCTTCAAGGAAAAGTCACAATCATTTCTGAATGTATTTACAACAGAGGAGATTATAGAGCCATAAAACAGAAAACAATGCATTTAGGATTATGTGCTGTGAAGTCCTTGTGACACTTACTCAAAGTCAGAGAAGGAAGGCAAGGACAAATAAAAAGTGGGAACAATTCTAGAATGTTCTTTTATCATCCAACAAAGAATTGAGCTGCACGATGATCCAAGATAAGATAAACTCCCTGGTAGTAAATTCAAGATAAAAATGTTTTTCCAGGTTAGAAAATAACTATTTCACCATTTCAGTGCTTAAACACATAGGCTATGAAATCTGAAAGTAACTGTGTTTAAACACTCATTCAGTAACTCACTTGCTGTACAACTTTGGGAAGTTAAGTAAACCCTCTGAGTCTCAATTTCCTAATCTCTAACACGGGGATTTTGGTGGCTAACTCACAGAGTTAGTGTGAGGATTAATGAATGACATGTGAAAAGCACGCAGCATAGTGTCTGAACATTTTAAATGTTTACATTTAAATGTTTACAGTGCTTGACACTGTAAACCAAAAATAAAATTCTAAGCCCCCAACCAAATCAATGAACTTCTCTTGGTCAAGGGCATTCCTAAGTTAACCTGAAACACTAGTTCAGGCCTTGATGGGAAGTGGGAGTTGGACATGCCTCATTATTCCTTCCTCCGTTTTGGAATGCCGGTTCAGTTGACCAGCATTAACATTAAAACAGGGACCTTAAGACTGACAAAGCAGACTCTTTGTAACAGTAAGATACCAACATGACAGATAGCAAGCCCTAAAATAAATAAAAGTATTTTATCCCAAAATATAATTATTTGACATATTTTGAAATGGCCTTGCAAAGCTGTCTCTTATGGAGAAAATCCACATTCTGTAGAGAATCCCCTTCCCTTTCCAGGTCTTTTTCCTAATCCAGGAGAGGATTAACTAAGAGCTTGGAACCTTTTTAAATCTGATAAGAAATATTTACAACTTATTCTCTCTGAAGGCTGCTGCTACCAGGAGGCTTCATCTGCATAACAAAAATGTTGGTCTCCACAATCCCTTATCTTAACGCAGACACTCCCATCAATTGATTCTAGGTCTTTAGAAAAACTCTTTCAACTAATTGCCAATCAGGAAATCTTTGAATCCCCCTATGACCTGAAAGCCACTCCCCTCTTCAAGTGTCCCACCTTTCCTGACTGAACCAGTGTACATCGTACATGTATTGATTGATGTCTTATGTCTCCCTAAAACATATAAAACCAAGCTGTAACCCAACCGCCTTGAGCATATGTTCTCAGGACTTCCTGAGTCCATGTCATGGACATGTCCTTAACCTCGGCAAAATAAACTTCTAAATTGATTGAGACCTGTCTAAGACACTTTTTGGTTTAACACATACATACACCCATGGCTATCCATTTGGAGATATATAGATGTGGAAAAGACAAGAAAGGAATATTTTAAAGTTGTGAAACAGGGTGATATATTTCTGTTTTCAAAACTTTAATTAGATGATTTTCATTTTTAGTGAGAAAAGGAAAAAAAAGAGGACATCACCATTTTGATAAAAATCACTTCCCAAGTTTTCATCCTCTTGGCACTTGCTAATGAGAGAATATATAAAAGATTCTAACACACCATTTCGCAAAGTGCATCTCTCAAAATGCTAGTCTTGAGAGGTGCTCCATGTGAAGACATTTCTGGCCAAGTAGGTTTGAGAAATACTGCCCTGAATATACCTCTCTTGGAGACATCATCCACATTAGCCTTTGAAGTCTCTGAGAAATATTAAGGTAGAAAAACCTGTTTAACCTTATTTCGCCACAAATTCCACATAGTACTGATGTTTCAAAAACCACACTTTGGAAAATACCACCATCACATATAATTTACGGTAGAAATCAGACTAGGATCTTAGAAACTTAGTGCTGACCCTCTGTACAGGGGGACAGAGGACAAGCGGTTGAGAACCACTGGCTCCTCTGTGTCTGGCCTGGGATGCTCATCACCAACTGACCAGCTGTGTGGATTTCTTGCCAATGGGTCAGACCAACTACTAAATTTACTTGAAAGGAGACAGGTCAGGAAGACAAATGTGTAGCTCACTTCTGTATTAGAGACACAAAGATAGGCCCTGGATCTATCCTTTCAAGATGATGCAGGTCAAGGCCATGCTACATACAGCATGGAAGAATCTCCAAGGCAACCTTAGAGCAACTGGTGAGATGGCATAGCCCAGTAACATAGAAGGGCCCAGGAACTCCTTCTGCTTTAGGTGAGCAGGTATATATATTTCTTTTCTTCATATAACTTTATTATCTTCTTCACTTGACCGATTCCCTTCTTCATGATCAATGGTCATGCCTTTTTCATATTACTGAGACAGCCAAGTAAAAATGGCTCCCCAGAGAATCTCCAACTGGTCTGCACACTGGAAGGAGAGCTGTGCCCTCAGGAAATTTGTGCTGTTCACAGTGGGGAGGAGCCTGTCGCCTTCTGTTACTGTGTGGGAACCTAGGATTCAATTTGTGAGATGGGGGCCTATTAACAGGAACCCCTCTCACTTTGCTGAGGAGCTTTTTCCTTTTTGGCAAATAAATTCCATAACCTCTCACCCTTCAAAGTGTCTGCATGTCTAATCTTTCCTGGTCATGTGACAAGAAGCCAGTTTTTTTCTATGACATTACTATGACTGACTGTGATGTGAAATAGAAAGGGAAGTAGTGGATGGAAAGAGCCCAGGTTTGGCCTCACAGTGACCTGGGCTTAATGCTGACTGTCACTTATTAGTTGTGTGATCTTGGATGAGTGACTTCACATTGCTGAGCCTCACTTTCCAGCTATGTAGTGAGAAACTGAGATAAAGTGTGCTAAACACTTGGCCCTGTTAGATACTCAATACCTGAAGCTATGGTTAATATGTAGATAATATTAATTCTATTACTGCCAACAATAATACGCAGTGGACTAATTGGACTAATGGAGATCTAGCAGTTTACCCAGTTTTCTCCTCTCACTACACAGAAATTCATCTTTTTCAAATTATTATGAAGTTCAACAAGTATTTATTGAACATCTACTCTGTCCCAAGTCTTTATTAGGCTTCACGGTCACAGGATAATTGGGGGTTACTTTTAAATGTCTCTGAGTTTAGCCAGGGCAACCAACAAATAAACAGGTAATTCCCTCTTTAAATGTAGCATGAATTAGAATAACAATACTGAGACTAGAGTGAGGTAAGAGAGGCACTCACCTGGGGCATGAAATTGAAGTTACAATCTAGTCTGCAAGAATCTGACAGGGCTTTTCTTGAATAGATTTTGTGTTGTTTTCTTACCTCAATCTCTCCAAATGGCAACTGCGAAGCCCTAGAAAAATTAGGATCTAGGGGAAACCAGTGTTTAAAGAGTTTGTTTGAGATAATAATTCTCATTCATTCGTCAATTCAACAAATATTTATTGAGCTTCTACTATATGTCAGGCATTGTTGTAGGTATTGAGAGGCAGAAATGAACAAAAGAGGGCCAAGCCCCTGTCTTCATGAAGCTTGCATTCTAGTGATTTCTTGTAATAACTCACAGAATTGAAATGGCCACCTAGGCACATATGATGACAAGGATGATGCCTGACAAGCTCTTTCAGAAAGTCTTTCAGAATCCTCCAGGATCCTCCCAGCCAAGAGAAGTGTGTTCTTCTGTGCTCCAAGGACACCCTGGATATACCTTAGCTGCTTGGGGCAGCTGTTATTTTAACATATTGTGTTCGTATCCCAGCTCTGCCACTCACCATCTGTGAAACCTTGAGCCAGGTACTCAACCCTTCTGAGCTTAATCACAGTAACTAATCCTTACTGATCACCTAGTTTTGCCAGGCACTCTGCTAAATGTTTTACATAAATCATTTCATTTAATCTTCCCACCAACCCTACAAGGAAGATCCCATTACTATAACTCTTTTACTAATAAGAAAACTGAAGCTGAGTAAGGTTAAGTAACCTACTCAAGGTCGGTCATGTGAGTAGTGTCAGAACCCAGCAAGTCTGCCAGGAACACAGTAAAGACCTAATGAATATCATCCTCATCATGGCTGGAACTAGGGTGAAGCACGTGAGGTGAGTAGTTCAAGTTCAGATCTCATCTTTATTTGGAATTTTGTTGTTGTGTTCATAATGGCTTTTTTGCATTTATTTTTATTTTGTTAAACATTGCATTAAAATATTTATCATGATAAAATATTTATCATGATAAGTCTTTCGGCACCCACTTCAAACAAACTCTTTAAACACTGGTTTCCCCTAGATGCTTATTTTTCTAGGGCTTCACAGTTGCCATTTGGAGAGATTGAGGTAAGAAAACAACACAAAATCTATTCAAGAAAAGCCCTGTCAGAGTCTTGCAGACTAGACTCTAACTTGAACCAAATGTACAACATAACAAGTTGTAGGAAGTAAGAACACCATTTGCATCCAATATCTGACTCACTTTCCACTAACTATTGTTATATCTGCCCATAGTATGATCACTATAGGGAACATAACATCTTTGATATAGAGTTCCCTGGGTGCCTAACTCTTTGCAGAAAACAAATTCCTTTCCTTTTCGTTTTTTTTTGTTTGTTTGTTTTGGAGTTTCGCTCTTGTTGCCCAGGCTGGAGTGCAATGGTGCCATCTTGGCTCACTGCAACCTCTGCCTCCTGAAGCAATTCTCCTGCCTCAGCCTCCTGAGTAGCTGGGATCACAGGCATGTGCCACCACAACTGGCTAATTTTGTATTTTTAGTAGAAATGGGTTTCTTCATGTTGGTCAG